GGTTGACTCCGGTCCCGCCGGAATCTGGCCGGAATCACGTGACCGACGGTACTCCCGAAAAAATGTCATTCTCTAGTGTACACTTGTCTTTTACAAGTGTTAAAAAACCTTTCCCTCCCAATCTGAAAATATTATGATTGCTTGCGTTTTTCTTATTCTTGTGTTTTGGTCTTGGCTTGTTTCTTTCTGAATTTCATGATTCTTATGCTCTTGAATGCAACATGGCTGTTCCAACGCTAGTGAATGTACCACTCTCTGTGCCGTGCGTTGAAGATTTTTCTCTCCCAACATGGATGGAGCCTTGCTGTTTGAGCTTCTGTTTGTACTTGTGGTTGTCTACTGGTTACTCCATCCATCCATTATCTTCCGCTTATTCCAAAGTCAGGTCTCAGAGGCAGCAGCTTGAGCAGGAAGGCCCAGACATCTCTGTCCACAGCACCTCTTCCAGCTCTTCTGGGAGGATTCCAAAGCGTTCCCAGGCCAACCAAGAGACATAGTCTCTCCAGTGTGTCCTGAGTCTTCTCTGGGGTCTCCTCCCAGTCAGACATGCCCAAACCACCTCAACTGGCTCCTGTCAATGTGGAAGAGCAGTGGTTCTACTCTGAGTCTCTCCTGGATAACTGAACTTCTCACCCTATCTCTAAGGAAGAGTCCAGCTACCCTGTGGAGGAAACTCATTTCAACCTCCTGCATTCGTGATCTCATTCTTTCGGTCACTACCCAGAGCTATACTATACTTGGACTCCTCCACTTGAGACAGAATCTCACCCTCGACCTGAAGAGCAATCCACCATTTTCCAGTTGAGGACCATGGCCTCAGATTTGGAGGTGCTGATTCGTATCCCAGCCGCTTCACACTCGGCTGCAAAATGCTCCAGTGTGTGCTGAAGATCACGGCACGATGACGCCAGCAGGACCACATCATCTGCAAAGAATCCTGAGGCCACCTAACCAGAATCCCTCCACCAGCTGGCTGCACCGAGAAATTCTGTCCATAAAAGTTATGAACAGAATCAGTGACAACGGGCAGCCCTGGAGGAGTCCAACTCCCACCCTGAAGGGGTCCGACTTACTACCGGCAATGTGAACCAAACTCTCGCACCATTTGTCTAGGGACTGAACAGCCTGTAACAAAGGGTCTCCAATCCCATACTCTCGGAGCACCCCGCACAGTGTACCTCGAGGAACATGATCGTATACCTTCTCCAAGTCCATAAAACGCATGCAGACTGGATGGGAAAACTCCCATGACCTCGAGGACCCTAGTGAGGGTAAAGAGCTGATCCAGTGTTCCACGGCCAGGACGGAACCCACATTGTTCCTCCTGGATCTGAGGTTCGACCAACGATCAGACTTGTTTCTCCAGTACCCCTGAATAGACCTTACTAGGGAGGCTAAGGAGAGTGATGCCCTTATAAATGATGCACACCCTCCGGTCTCCCTTTTCTGCCACTGGACTGGCAGACGTTACTGGTTACTGCTGTGTGTAAATACCAGGAGAAACACCAGCAAATAAATCACCCTCATGTTTTTTTAATGAGAAGACAACTTCATGTCTTGCTGCTGTAAACCAGTTAATTTCCTGGAGAACACCAAACCTCTCCTTTAGCTATGTTTACATGGACATAAGTAATCGGATTAAATGGCCAGTCATATTATTCCTTGTTGATTCAGCTCGATCTGAAATAATTTGTAATCTGGATGAGATGGGTGGTTTATGCCGATTCATAATCCAAACAGTGCACATGTAAACACTTCATCTGTTCATTTTTTTCCGATCGTGGAAAACGGACCTGACTGCGCATGTGCAACCTATGTCATTTCTGCCTGGCTAATGCTAATAATATTAGCATGTCGGGGAAACAACTGGTCGGTGAGCGATACAACATTTCTACTAGGGGTGTAACAGTACGCTAAAATCACATTTCAGTTCGGTTCAATTTCAAGGAGGGCTCGGTTTAGTTAATTTTCGGAAGAGTTGAGATGAGCATTGATTTATCTGATAAAAGTTGTTTAAATGCTGCTGTTATCGCTCTTTGCACCAAGTTGCTAAAAGAGAAGTTCACGTTCGGATGATGTTGTTTCAAGTTGTAACAAGTTGGACGTGTTGCTGCTGCAGATCCAGTCTCAGTGAAACAACGTCGACACACAGCTTTGGATTTGTTCTTGTCTTTTAACAAGAAACATAATGTTTCCAACAGGAGACCACGATGAGATGGCTTGTTCGTTGCCTGCTAGGCTGCTAATGCTATGCGTGCTTCAAAATAATAGCACCGTGCTGAAACACGCTTAGGAACTTTAGTTCCGCGGTGCATAATCTCTCATTAATAAAATTTAATGCGTGAAAAAATAACTGAAACAGTATGCACGTGGACCGAACCGAACAGTACGTACCGAATGGTTCAATACACCCACGTGCACTGTTACACCCCTGATTTCTAATAGAAACTTTGCAGGAGCTCCACATGATGCGTATCACCTGCAGCTCAGTCAGGGAGTGCAGCAACGTCTCCACCATCTCTAAAACCTGACGGGTACATTTTTGTTGCTCAGGTTTGTTTACGTTCATCCTGGTGTAGTGAGATAGGTCGGTTAGCTTCGTTAGCTTCAGAGCTCCACTACATGTTATAATATCTGGACTAGTTCAAGTACCTGATATTATACTTAATTTAAACGGGTTCTCTCTTTTTCGAGCTACTTGACAGATATGTGACAGAGATCAGTGACGTGAGACGTTAATTTTCTTTGACCCATCGAAAATGAATGCGGTCATTTATTAACAGAATCAAAGTTTAACATCAAACATTGTACACGTGATTATTCTGATTGTACGCAATAACACAGCTTAACTAATTACAACAGACATTTCTGAAAATATCTGGATGATTTACTGGCAAGATAGAAGAGTTTTAAAGATGGGAAATGAAGTTTAAATGGAGAGGGAAAGATGGATGAGGGAATATGTGTCTGTATAAGAACGGCACTCTCCATTCGATCCCAGCTTCACCTCGGTACACTTAGGTAGTGGAAATCGACTCTTTACCTGTAGAAGAGGTCTCCACTGGTACGGAGTTCCATTTAACGCCACCTTTCCAGCGTCTCCGTAGGAACAGCTGTGAATCGTCCGAAGTAGTGACGGTACTTCGTTCAACACACGTTCACCTCCCAGGTGGGCTCACATGAGTTGTGAGTCCGTCAGAGGTTCCACTCAGATGTGGAAGATTCCATAATTCCCACGAGACTCGGAAGAACTTCGGATCATGTCTGGAACTTCCTGTTCTCTCCAGCAACTTTTTGTTCGGTTCTGCCCTCCGAACTGAACTGCTCTCCCACCGCACTGGTTGGAACTAGGAAGTGTCGACATTTAAAGAGTTCTGTTTCCGGTTCATTTAGGAAGTCCTGATTGGCTGAAAGAGCCAATCAGGGGTGTGTTTTTAGTGACGTAAGAGGTCACTAGAAGTCAGAAAAACAGAAAAATGTTTTGGAACAGACAAAATGTTTTTGAAACAGACAAGAGAAATGTTTAGGTGAGTTGGGAGGAAACAGGTGCCAGCTTCTCTATTTACGTCTGAGAGGATTTAAAAACATGACAGTTCGTTCCAACAAACTTGTTTGTGTTTGTCTCCGACTTTTGACCGACTTACAACCTGCTCATTTCAGACAGAAGATCAAGAAAATGAATAATTACTCTGTAACAGACATTAACTAGATTTCTACTTTGAATGAGGATTAAAAATCATTAATACTGTTTCACAGTTGATTTAAAATAAGTAGTTCACTTCAACATTTAAAAATAATTTGAATTAAACACACTTTTGATTATCAAGACATTTGTAAAATAGTAATGATAATAGAAAAAGAGAGTGTTCTTTCAATTGATCAGTGCAGGACACTTAGAAAGTCTCTGGATGAACTTAATTTTGTGTTTCTGGACTCAAATCAATGAAGTAACAGTTCTTGTCCCAGGAAGGCCCTCAGGGCCAGATTTGACCTGAGGCTTAGTTCACTACACCGGAAGTAGAACTTCTTCTTCTGTGGTTTATTTAAGTAGAGTTTACCACTCTGCACATGTCAGTACTTCTGTTCAGAACAAAGCCCGCTGCATGTAAACACTCGTCATGAACAGATTGCGCCCATGTAAACAATACATCTGAATTATTTAATCTGAAAACATTTCAATCCCATCAAAGAATTGTACGCATGTAAACATAGGTAGTGTAGCAGCTACCAAGTTATTTTCACACATCAGGAATTTACATCCATGTCACCAGATTGTCTCCACTGTGAGTCAACAAAACAAAGTGACAATTGATATCTGCGTATGCATCTAGCTTGTTCACAGTGGGAGCTGCAGCAGCGGGGGGGGGGGGGGGGGGGGGGCTGGGTTTGTATTCAGTGAGGGAGAGGAGGAGCGGTCACGTGAATATGCAGACGGGAGAAAAACTGGCTGATTTTCAAGTATAATTATAACTATCTAGAGTATACTATAGGCACTATAGTACTATATCGTTTTATATCGATATAGTCTCATTTTATATCGCGTATGAAATTATCTTGATATTTTAAAAATATTGAGATATCAGCCAGCCCTACTTTGAAGTGAACAGAGACACAGGATTTGTGTGTCGACAAAGAGCTGATCCAACCTCTAATGAAGCAGGTTCTGCTCCGTCGTCACACCACATAAAATATATCGTTCTTGTTTTTGCCATTTTTCATCTTGTTGAGGTTAGAGTTTGTATCATCATGTAAGTTGTAACACCTGCTGTATTTTCTTGGCTGCATCACAGCCCCACATACAGGCCTGGCATGGCTACTACTGACTTTGGGTCTTCTTTATTTTCATTTCCATGTGTTTAGCTCTGTCCAAATGTGATCAGATCACAGTGTAGTTGTTACGAACCAGACTTCATGCGCGTTTACACTTTTCTTTTAGGAGACAAAGCCGCTGCTGTAAATGTGACAAGGATCAACCTTCATGCATGATGCTCTCCATACAGGTGAACTGGGGTGAGATGGTGGGTTTAGTGCGGGAGCCTCGTAACCCATATGATCGTAACGCAGTGAAAGTCACAAACGTGTATGGGAACCAGGTCGGACACATCAAGAAGGAGCTGGCTGCAGCTATGGCCCATGTGATGGACAACAACCTGGCCAAAGTGGAGGGGTGAGTTCTGATTGGCTGTCCGATGTGCACAGAAAAAGACAAAAGTCACCTTCTAATCAATCAACCTTTATTTAGACAGGTAAATCCCATCGAGCCTCGAGGACTCATTTACAAGAGAGACCTGATTGTGAAATGAAATCCTAATAACCACGACTCCATCTCCTTGTTAGGGTGGTACACTCTGCGACGAAAAACTCCTTTACCATGCCCGTCATGCTGTCATTCTGGGGGACAGAAGGGAACAAAGACGCTGTGATGAGGTACATGGCAAGCCGAGGGTATAAACTGGATGCAGGTGGAAGCAGGTCAACAGGTGCACCTTCAGGTTTCTATTCTTTCTGTTTCTTAACTTTAACATCTCTCTTGACTTCAACTTCATTTCATTTACACGTGTTTGTTTCCAGGTAGCCAGAAATCATCCGGCAGCTCAGGTGCTCGTGCCTTTTCAGCCAAGAAAGGTGTGACCGTCCCACTGACTGCAGACGAGGTGGAGAACAATATTCAGCCTTTTAACGCTCATTTAGAGTGAACTGAAGCTAAATGTTTAGATTCTGTTCATTTCTGTTCATTTTGTTCTAGAGCTGCTCCGCTCCAGGTGGCTGCATGTTGGAGCAGCTCTGTTTCATTCTGAGATTTTGCTTTTGGAAACTTTAATTCCTGTTTTTCTGGATGTAAATCACATTTATTTGGATGATTGTTTCCTCTGGTATCAGATGCTGTGCAGCTGGAAGGATTTTTACTGAAACTGTTTTAGTTTTGGACATTTGTTATGATGCGCAACCATGGCAACAATGCAGTTTTCTACAACCAGCAGCTGATTAACATCTCAAAAGCTCAAATAATATCTCAACACAGAACCAAATCTCAAATGAGTTGAAAAGGATGTTCTGTGGACGCATTCTCATCTACCTGCCGGCTGTGCTCGAGTGCCTGACCACTGAGATCCTGGAACTAGCAGGAAACACAGCTCGTGACAGCAGAAGGACAGGATCCTCCCTGTGCACCTACAGTTGGCTGTCCACAGCGACGAGGAGCTCGGCAGACTGCTGGGAGGAGTGGCCATCACTCTGGGAGGAGTTCTGCCCAGCATTCAGGTGCTCCTACAGCCCGGGGGAACTGAGAGGCCAGCAGAGTCTGGGTGGACGGATTGGACGGCATCTGCAGCCAGTTTCTTAGGATCCACTGTGAGATGGACCTTTACAAGAGATCCTTCCTGTCTACAGCATCAGCATCTATAACATCTTTTAATGAAATGAGGATAACGTGTTACAACAACAAATAATTTCCCTTTGGGATTAATAAAGTATTTTTGAATTGAATTGAATTAGTTCTAGAATTGCGCCGCTCAAGGTGGCTGCATGTTGGAGCAGCTCTGTTACTTTCATTCAATTCAATTCAAAAATACTTTATTAATCCCAGAGGGAAATTATTTGTTGTTGTAACTCGTTATCCTCATTTCATTAAGAGATGTTATAGATGCTGATGCTGTAGACAGGAAGGATCTCTTGTAAAGGTCCATCCCACAGTGGATCCTAAGAAACTGGCTGCAGATGCTGTCCGATCCGTCCACCCAGACTCAGCTGGCCTCTCAGTTCCCCCGGGCTGTAGGACCGCCTGAATGCTGGGCAGAACTCCTCCCAGAGCGATGGCCACTCCTCCCAGCAGACTGCCGAGCTCCTCGTCGGTGCGAACATCCAACTGTAGGTGCTGAGGGACTATCCGTGTTTCCTGCTAGTTCCAGGATCTCAGTGGTCAGGCACTCGAGCACAGCTGGCAGGTAGATGAGAATGCGTCCACAGAACATCCTTTTCAACTCATTTGAGATTCAGAGCTGTAGTTGAGATATTATTTGAGCTTTTGAGATGTTAATCAGCTGCTGTTGGTTGTAGAAAACTGCCTTGTTGCCATGTATGCTGTTTAAAACATAAAGCCTGCTACACCCCGGACAACCAAAAACATTTGACAGATATGTCGTCAGTTAGCATGTACGCTAACTTCAGTTAGCTTAGCATAACAGTAAGAGCTAAATGATTATTGAGCATGCATCAGGATACTAGTTGCCATGGTTACGCATCATAACAAATGTCCAAAACTAAAAAAAGTTACAGTAAAAATCCTTCCAGCTGCACAGCATCTGACACCAGAGGAAACAATCATCAAAAAAATGAGATTTACATCCAGAAAAAGAGGAATTAAAGTTTCCAAAAGAAAAATCTCATAATGAAAGTAACAGAGCTGCTCCAACATGCAGCCACCTGGAGCGGAGCAATTCTAGAAATTTTCATTCTCATTCTGAGATGTTACTTTTGAAAATTTTAATTCCTCTTTTTTCTGGATATAAATCACTTTTTTTGGATGATTATTTCCTCTGGTGTCAGATGCTGTGCAGCTGGAAGGATTTTTACAGAAATATCTTTACTTTCGGACATTTGTTATAATGCGTAACCATAACAACAAAGTTGTTTTTTACAACCGGGAGCAGCTGATTAACATCTCCAAAGCTCAAATAATATCTCAACTACAAACTCAAATCCCAAATGAGTTGAAAAGGAGGTATCGTGGATGCAGAGCAGGAGCAAAGAAGAGGGAGAAAGAGAGAAGAATGAAGTTTAAACCATCTCTTCCATCGATCATGATGGGCAATGTGAGATCGCTGGGAAACAAGTTGGATGACCTTCAAGCCCTAACAAGGACCCATCCAGAGTATCGGGAATGCAGTGTGATGTGTTTCACTGAGACATGGCTGCAGGATCATATCCCCGACTCCAGCATGTCTCTGCCAGCAGATAGAGATTTAAAGAGGAGTGGCAAAAGGAAAGGAGGTGGGTTGGCAGTGCTTGTGAACAACAGATGGTGTAATCCTGGACATGTTACTGTGAAGTATCGTCTCTGCAGTCCAGATATTGAACTGTTAGCCCTAAGTTGTCGTCCATATTATTTGCCAAGAGAGTTCACCAGTGTTATTTTGGCAACAGTTTACATTCAACCCAATGCTGTTGCCGAGACTGCGTGTGATGTCATCAGCTCCGAGGTTGCTAAGCTACAGACACAACACCCTAGTGCGTTTGTTGCATTATCTGGGGATTTTAATCATGCCTCTCTCTCTGCTACACTTCCGACATTCCAACAGTTTGTCAGCTGCTCTACCAGAGAAAACAAAACGCTGGACTTGTTTTATGCAAATGTCAAGGATTCATACATCGCTAAAGCAAGACCCCCTCTTGGCAAATCAAATCACAATCTTGTGTTTCTCTGCTCAAAATATAAACCCCTTGTTCAGAGGCAACCTGCAATAAAGAGAAAAGTGAGAAAATGGTCAACGGAAGCTGAAGAAGCCCTGCGGGGTTGTTTTGATGCTACAGACTGGGATGCACTGTGCCAGCCACATGGAGAGGACATCAGTGCCATGACTGAGTGTGTGACAGACTATATAAACTTCTGTGTAAACAACACCATCCCAACCAGAACAGTGAGATGCTTCCCCAGTAACAAACCCTGGATCACCACTGACCTGAAGGAACTGCTAAACCAGAAAAAAAGAGCCTTCAGGGAGGGAGACAGGGAATTATTGAGGAGCACACAGAAGCAACTAAAAGTCAAGATAAGAAACAGCAAGGAGGTGTACAAGAAGAAGCTGGAGAGACAGCTCCAACAGAACAATATCAAGAGAGGTGTGGTCAGGGATGAAACAGATCACAGGCTTCAAGCAGAAGGAGGATCAGAAGGATGGAAGCCTGGACAGAGCCAATGAACTGAACACATTCTTCAACAGGTTCAGTTCAGGAACAAGCTCAGCATCGTCCTCTCTTGCCCACAGCCAAACATACATACCACCCTCCTGATGCATGCTCAATAATCCAGGTAGAAAAATCCAAAAAAGTTCAATCTGGTCCTCTGGACATTCAAAAAAACAAAAAACAAAACAAAGCAAAAAAATGTAGAAACGTTTCGTCTCTCATCCGAGAGACTTCCTCATTCTGAGGAGCTGTTTTCAGCTCAGTCTCTTAAATAGCACCTTCACAGAGTGGATCAACCAGTTTGCTGCTGACAACCAAAACCAGCTGATCACATGCTCAAGAAGGACCATCAGCCTAACAATGGATCATTAGCACCTGATGGCTGCTTACTGTTCACAGAGGGCTGAGTGATACTAGCAATCACAGCATTGTAAGAGGGGGACAGTTGAACCCGGAGGCTCCGCCCCTGTTTAATGATGGACGGTTTCTTTTCACAAAGATGGCCTCCTTTACTCCTCTCTCAAACCATCGTTCCTCTCTGTCCAGGATGTGAACATCTTCATCCCTGAAAGAGTGACCGCTGTCCTGGAGATGAGTGTAGACCGCAGAGTCCTGGCCTGATGATGTTGATCTTCTGTGCTGGGCCATCCTTTTGGCCAGTGGCTGCTTAGTTTCCCCGATGTCAGACTGATCACAGCCCTCCTGACACTGAACAGCATACACAACATTACTCTGTTTGTGCCGGGGGACTGGATCTTTGGGATGAACCAGTCTTTAATGTATTTTGGGTTTAAAAGCCACTGGGACGTTATGTTTAGAAAATAAACGTCTCAGTTTCTCTGATACTCCCTCAACATATGGAATGACCACTGGTCTGGGTCTGGGTTCCTCCTTTTCACCTGTTGGCTGACTGGAGTCCTGTTTGGGTTTCTTCTCTGCTTTCAGGAAGGCCCAGTTAGGATATCCACATTGCTCTAGAGCCTGT